TCTCTCTCTCTCTCTCTCTCTCTCTCTCTCTCTCTCTCTCTCTCTCTCTCTCTCTCTGTTGAGAGAGGTGCCCTGTAGAGACCGGTTGAAAAATATAATTCTTTCGCATAATTGGAATAAATAATTTCGGGAATTTCAATGTCGATTTCTTTTTTGTCAAAGTTTTACGCGAAGCTTCTACGCGTCGCACAAGTGTGTTAAAGAGCACAGTGCATAACCACGCATCTGATCATTATAACGATCATGTATCATGAGGCTATTTTCCATTTAAATCCATACGACGTCAATATTGCAGTAGTTAAAACTACGTCCATCGATCACGATGGAAAACAAGCGGGCACCCAAACCTGGCATATTGAAAATTATTGAGATCGTCGTGTTCACAACTCATGGCGTTTTCAATCGGGAATATATTATTTTATTATCATACATTATAAACACTGTACATGTTGTAATTGCTCCATAAAATAAATTATTAAACAGCTGTCAAACATAAAAAAAAATAAACAGAGGGAAGAGAAAAAGAATCACAAATGTATCCCGCCGCACACATATGAACCTCAATCCGTGTGTAATTTTAAATAAATTCAACGTACAACATTGTGGGTCGTTTGAGAAATCATCCGCTAAGACTTGTCAATATAATTTCTGTAGATTTTGAAGGGCTCCTTACTTTCTGATAAAACTAATTTTTTGTTTTCCAAGATATGTACGAACATATTTTTTCCAAGAGTTGAAAATAATATTCATACTATTCATATTAGAATATTTGTTCTGAAAACAGGAAACGTATTTTACCAGAAGCATCTCGAACTTTGGACGATAATTGTTAACATTATATTATAAGAGGCACGTTTATAATGAATATACGCATGCGCGTAACAAATGTAAAATGCGTTCAAAAAAGAATGCGATGTAAGATAAGAGTTATAAATATTTTACAATCCGGATGCGATTTTAATTGCGAAGTTCATTCTGAGTCAAAATATCGATAAAAAACTACTTGAATACATGACTTTGTATGACAATATATTTAGCCTGTCAAGGAACAAAATTGATTGTGCTTACGTACATGCAATCTGAAATCTACGTAGAGCTGCTATTGTATGTTGCCTGTGACGCAATCAAATGATACACATGTTCATATCAGAGACAAAGTGTCAACACTTTTAAGAATACACGATTCACCGATATAATTAACTTATTAACTAAAAACTAATCTGCTGTAAGATTGAGAAACTAATCGCTAAATGCAAAGTGCACAAAATCAATATACGAATAGAATCGACGAAATGAACGAGCAATCAGTTGATGCTGTGTTAATTTCATATCGGCAATCTCGAAAGGCTATCGAGCCATTAACACTTTCCTCGAAGTCACAATTGATCATCGATCCTAATCGTACTTAATCGTCGATTACGAGAACCTTGACTGATAATACTTTCAATCTAATTTCCACCTAAAGTGTCCAGAATTCTAATTACTGAACCGTAATCGTGCTAGTCATTATAATTTCTGGAGGCTCTTGCGTAACGTGATCATGGACAATAGCAATTGTTCATGCTATTGTTCGCATGATATCCGTTACACATCAAACGAAGATGGCGAGAACACGTTTACCATTTCTGTCCGAAACGAATACAACGAACAAGCACTCGTGTCAGGATCATTAAGAAATCGGTACTGAGTTGTACATAAATAGATCGATGGAAGGAATTATCGTCGAAACAGTGTGGCATTAAAGGGGCTTCGGACATCAGTGACGAATGATAATGACGAAATCTAGCTTAATGAACTAAAACTTGCTTAATGATATCCAAAGATATAATGGAATTTTCTTGTACCAAGCTTGTAGAAGTTTGCACGTTCGCTCATTAAAGAAAATACAAGGTAATGGAACGTATACTATGCAAATCGTTAACCACTATTTCGTTTACTTTTTAATTTACAGTTGCTGGAGATGTTGAAGTTCTACGCAAGATTCGAAATCAACGAGGAAAGTGGTGACCCTCTCACGGATCACGACATGACGCAGTTGCATTATACCAAAATCACTTCTCTTCAGGTATAACAATTGTAGTATTATAATACTATAAATAATACTATATATAATAGTATTATAATTGAACTTTAAGAGAATACAACAATGTTTGAAGATCATTCGAAAATGACAGATTTAATATTCTTTTGCAAATTTTTTGACCGAGAGGTTGATTGTTAAACGATAGAACAACTTACGAATTTTGCATGGTTTTCTCAAACCACTTAATCTGAGCTGTATTTGTAATTCTTTCACTTACAACGTAAATTTTAGTACTCGTGAACCTGCCAGTTCTGTTGATTAGCCCGGAAATTTATGCGAAGTCAATATTGACGCTTCCGTTAGACCTCTAGACTTTTCTAAAAACTTAGAGCATCACTTATTGCTAAAAATTAATTCGCAGCAGTTACTGCTCACTTTACCGTACAGTCTCTCATTGTTAATGATTTTTAAAACGATGGTTTTGTAAAATAAGTTAACGAAGTTAAGGCACTTATTAATTAATGGCTAATGACATACTAATATGTATTGTGGTTTTTCTAAACCCCCAAAAAAGTTGTTTAAAATGCAAATGTCAAAGACAAGAATATACTTATAATACGTATAATATACTTGAATGTTATAAAATTTGAAGCAAAAAAATATTTGTTTCAAAATAAATCTGTGATAAATTAAATGAGTTCGGAGAGTCCACTTTAGGAATTTGCGTAACAACTAAAGGTCAAAAGTTACACTGCTAATTCATGGACGATATTAGTTTTCACTTTCCTTCTTTTGTTTAGCTATAATAGCTGTTCATCGAAACATTTATGAAAGAATATAAAAAACTAGTCGAATATTCAAATTCTGCGCAGAAAGCGGTTTTCGCGAAATTCCAAGATCTGAGGAATTTTGCCTTGACAAACGTGGCGAGCGTCGACACGAGGGATGCCCTTTACAAACATTTTGGCTCGCTTAGGTACCAATCTTGAGTACATAAAACATTGTCTACTATATGTCAAGAATGTTTCTTATTGCATCTACATTTTCCATCATTCTTTTTCAGTCAGGAAAAATTGAGATCTATTGCGAGTTATCTGAGCCTAGTCCCGTCAGAGGAGCGAGAAAAAGAAGAAAACTGGTACCGATACGACATAGACTTTCTTCGTGAGCTTTTGGTATGTTAAATGGACAATAATTTTTAACAATTAAATACTTCTGAGTCAAATTTATATGAACCATATTTTAAATACTGTTTTAGGTAATCGTTATTTCAGAGTTTAAATAAAACATTATTGTAAATAGGAATTACAATTTTTAGCAAATCGTTGTGAAAACCTAAAAGACAAAATAAAATATTATAACTTTGTAAAATAAATAGTATTTAAGATATTTATATTGGCAGTGAAAGCAAAAAACGAAATAAATTGATATTAGAATGCAAGAATCAATATGCACATATAATACACAAAGTAAATGTAAACAGTCGTTGTTTTAATTCTTTGAATTCTTACTTTTTAATTTTCGTATTACATATGTACTTTTACTTGACGAACTATGGGTGCATTTTTAATGCTTTTTTCTTATTATTATCTTAAGTTTATCTTACGATTATTCTTACTATTTAATGATACAACCAATTTAATTTTAGATCTCTCGACATGAACGCAGAGCCTCCCAATTGGAAGAGCTCAATGAAATGCCCCTGTATCCCACAGAAGAGATCATCTGGAACGAAAGTATCGTTCCAACAGAATATTTCTCTGGTGAAGGATGCTTGGCACTACCAAAATTAAATTTACAGTTTCTCACTCTGCACGATTACTTACTAAGAAATTTCAATCTTTTCCGATTAGAATCTACCTGTATGTAGAACAAACGTATATTTACTCATGAGATTGTTTAAATATTGATCGTAATTAATTCGATAACGTTCATTTCTTTCAGACGAGATACGTCAAGACATCGAGGATGCTGTAAGCAGATTAAGTCCCTGGTAAGTTTCTTTTTGAATGCAATCAACCCACACACATAATTAAGCATGTGTTAATCGGTATTTTATTTGTACCATATAGGCGAGCTGAAGATGGTGGTGTTTATTTTGGTGGCTGGGCCAGAATGGCTCAACCGATTACACAATTTGCTGTCGTAGAGGTAGCAAAACCTAATATTGGCGAAAAGAGACCATCTAGAGTGCGAGCTGATGTCACAATAAATTTGAGTGTTCGAAAAGAAATCAAATCTGAATGGGAGAATCTTCGAAAACACGACGTTTGTTTCCTAATTACTGTCAAGCCCGAAAATCCAATTGGTAAGACACAAAAATGAGATACGGTAGCATGTTTGGAAAATTGAATAAACTAACAATTTCAATATTTGTTTTCTCTATAGGTACTAAATACAGTCATAAATTACCATTCGTCCCACAAGTTGGTTTAACAACGGTAAGAGGGTGTGAAGTTGAAGGTATGTTAGATTCTAATGGCAGAGTGATAGAAGATGGTCCTGAGCCGCGACCAATTTTACCTGGTGACACAAGAACTTATAGAGTCTGGCTAGATTCTAATCAGTATCGGATCGACATGGACAACGCTAGTCACGGTGGTGAAGATGTTTACGAAGGGTTTAATATTATAATGAGACGAAAACCAAAAGAAAATAATTTTAAAGCGGTTCTAGAGACCATCAGGGAACTTATGAATACAGAGTGTGTTGTTCCTGATTGGCTACATGATATAATTCTTGGCTATGGCGATCCAGGTGCAGCTCGTTATTCAAGGTACTTCTAATTATTACAATTTATTCAATACAATTTTAGCTATTCAATATTAATATTTTTATATCTGCTTGTAGAATGCCAAATGAAATCGCAACAATGGATTTTAATGACACATTCCTCGATATAGACCACTTGCGTTCCAGTTTTCCAGAATATGAAATTGAAGTTTCTAGAGACAACGAAAAGAAGCTTGTACGACCTTTCCGTTTAACATTTGAAGATGTTCTTGCTAAACAGAGCAATGAAACTGTAAAACAAATAATTGAAGTTGAACCACATGTTCCTCCCAGTCGAGGCCCGTACAAGGCTAATGAACCTAAAAAGTATGTGACGAGTTATTCTTTATTTATATAATTAATTGTACGCTATACATCGTTAGTGTGTTTTATATGATTTTTTAAATAGGAATCAGATCCCCTTTACACCAACGCAAGTTGAGGCTATTAGGGCCGGTATGCAGCCAGGATTGACACTTGTTGTAGGCCCCCCTGGTACTGGTAAAACAGACGTTGCTGTGCAAATCATTTCGAACCTTTATCATAATTTCCCAAATCAAAGAACATTAATAGTCACACATTCTAATCAAGCATTAAATCAACTTTTTGAGAAGATTATGGCACTAGATATTGATGAGAGGCACCTGCTTCGTCTTGGTCATGGAGAGGAAGCATTAGAAACGGAAAAAGATTTTAGCAGATACGGTAGAGTTAACTATGTTTTGGCTAAACGCTTGGATCTTTTAATGGAAGTTCAAAGGTTACAGGTTCGTATCCTACAAAAAAATCAACTAATCAATTCTACAAACAAGTCAACAAGATACTTTGTTTGTTATATTACATAAAATTTGTTTATTAGGAATCTTTGAATGTGAAAGGCGACGTAGCATACACATGTGAAACTGCGGGACATTTTTTCATGTATCAAATATTAGCAAGATGGGAACGCTTTGAATCTAGAATCAAGCAAAGGCAAGGAACAGGAAACAGTTCACCTCCTGCTTTCATTGTGGACGAAGAATTTCCATTTCATAAATTCTTCGATAATGCTCCGCAACCCTTATTCAAACGTAATACATTTGAAGAGGACATAGAAACAGCATGCAGTTGTTTCAGGTAATTTTATAACAGATGCTCATTTATTTGAAAATCGTATTTTCCATAAACGGTAACATCACTTTGATTCTGTAGATACATAGAAAGGATTTTTGCACAATTAGAGGAATTCAGAGCTTTTGAGTTGTTGCGATCCGGTTTGGATAGATCAAAATATTTATTGGTTAAAGAAGCAAAGGTTATTGCCATGACCTGTACTCATGCTGCACTCAAACGACGCGAGCTCGTTGATATGGGATTTAAATACGACAACATTCTGATGGAAGAGTCTGCACAAATTTTGGAAATAGAAACTTTTATACCATTGTTATTACAAAATCCACAAGATGGATATAATAGATTAAAACGTTGGATAATGATAGGAGATCATCACCAGTTGCCACCAGTTATTAAAAATATGGCTTTCCAGAAATATTCAAATATGGAACAATCCCTTTTTGCAAGATTTGTTAGGCTAGGTGTGCCCACAGTTGATCTTGATGGTCAAGGTCGTGCTAGGCCCAGTATTTGTAATCTTTACAATTGGCGGTATAAAAAGCTGGGCAATCTTTTCCACGTAGAACGTAGTCCAGAGTATTTAGTAGCGAATGCTGGATTCTTATACGACTTCCAACTGATCAATGTTGAAGATTTTAACGGAGTGGGAGAAAGCGAGCCGAGTGCTTACTTCTATCAGAACCTTGCTGAAGCTGAATACTGCGTGGCCGTATTTATGTACATGCGACTTCTTGGTTACCCGGCCGATAAAATTAGTATATTGACTACGTATAATGGCCAAAAACATTTAATAAGAGATGTGATAAATATAAGATGTGCTAGTAACCCTTTAATAGGCCGGCCCAATAAAGTAACAACGGTTGACAAATACCAAGGTCAGCAGAATGATTACATATTACTATCTCTTGTAAAAACCCGCGCCGTGGGCCATTTGCGAGACGCACGACGTTTGGTGGTAGCTATGTCGAGAGCACGTCTTGGTCTTTATGTGTTTGCTAGAGTTTCACTTTTCAAGAATTGTTTTGAATTAACTCCCGCATTCGACCAATTAATGCAACGACCATTAAAGCTACAGCTATTACCACAAGAGCATTATCCTACTGATAGACTTAACGATGCTATTCCGTCTACTTCACCAATGGAAATCGAAGATATGCCTCATATGGCGAAATTTGTATATGATTATTATATGGAGAAAGTTAGTGGCATGAAAGAGTCTCAGAAAATGTGGCAAAAACCAGGTACAATGCAAACATCTAATAGTCCAACTCATAAGGTTCCTGCTCATCCTGGAGCAGATGATGATACAGACGATGAAGAACTCGACCAAACAGAGAATGAAGAACGAGATACTAAGGAAGAAAATATGGAACATAAATTTGAACTGATAAAAAATTTAGTTGAAGAACCAGCTTCAGAAAGTGAAGACAACGATCGTTAAGGACTTATCAATGTTTGAATAAAAAGAATATTCAGATGGTAGAAAGGAGTACATTGTACTTAAAATACAACCACTTTTTATTCAAATTATATTTATTGTACAGTTTCATGGTATTCTACCATGATATAATAAAATTAAAAGATATTTGTATTTTATATTTGTTAAAAATAGTATTTATCCGCTGACTTATGCATTTGATTTGACTACACTATAGAAGAACTTTTCAGATAAAGAGATTCTGGTTTTTCTTTGAAATTTCTTTACGACGTGATAAATGTTTATCTAAATGTTGCTTTTTTGACCTGTCCGTTTTGTTTGAATTATCATTAATCTGTTGAACGCTTGATGGCACGTAACTGTTATCAAATTTCATAGATTTGCTAGTAAAGTCAGGTTGATATTCTTCAACGGAGCTTTTGATTCCCTTCGAAGTAGGAACATATTCTTCTGGAAGATTAATGATTGTCGTCGCACTAGGTTCGTACGTTTCGTATGACACTTTCGACGTATCAATGGAATTTGGTATATATCGAACCTCTTCTAACGTATTTTTATTATCCAATATCGTAGGAGAGTATTCATTCGATGATACTTGAATTCGTTCCAAAGTACTCTTTCTGCTCGGTATATATTTTAAATTCGTGCACAATTTTTTAGTCGCTGGTGCATTTGGCACATACTCCTCTAATGAATTACTTTTCAAACCTTCCAGCTGCAAATACCGTTTGACTCTTACATTCTTTGTTTTGTCATTTGTTAACTTTGTTACATCAGAATTCTCTGTTTTCTTTGGTAAAATATTATCATTATCTTTTTGGTCAATAGAATCGCAAACACTTTGTGTTTTCTCTAATATTTGATTATGAACTTGTTCCTTTTCTGCCGACCTTTTCGATATTTCTAATTTTTCTGATTTTTTCTTAGCAGGAGATACATTTACTCTAATCGTAGGCAATGACACAACATCTTTTGCAATTTCCGACTGCTCGAAAGTGTACCTATGATTTAAAAAGAAAAACATCCATATAAATATACTAATAATAATTAAGACTATATGTATACATATATTTAGATTTATGTGGAGGGAAGGGAATTAAAAAGATCATTTTTCGAAATTTTTGAATTCTTATGATTCGAATTACCGAAATCCGACTGTGTAATATTTTCTGTTTAGTCATTTAAAATAATAATATTTGTTATAAATATTATATATATATATATATATATATATATATATATATATATATATATAATATTAAATGTCATTTTAAATACAAAATTAAAATTTAAGTTAATTTTAAAGTTATCATATTCAAGAAGCAAACGCTAGATGCAGCTTACGTGATATCTAGTTGACGGGTGGACTTTTTGCCTTTGCATTTCTCGGAATTCTGAAACAATCCTTCCTTACGAGCGTTCCGTAGAATTGCTCTCTCTAAAATTTTGTATACCGCTATCCAATCCTCGAGATCAAGCCATTTATTCGTTAGTACTTTTTTCTTTTTAATTTGTATAATCTTTTCTTGAACAGTAACAACAGCGGTCGCTAAACAATTGTCCGAAGCCTGCGAATACAGCTTCTGTTTTACTTGTACAGGTTGCAGAATTGCCTGTAAACAGCTGTTGACAGCTGTTGATCATGATACCTTTATTACTTCCAAATATTGACCATCACGAAACATTTTCACAATATGGTTGTTAATCAACCTTTTGATTAGTCTCTCTCTTTTGGAGTTCACTCATTCGATGTACTACACAAATTATCCTTTTAATTCCTTTACTTGTCACTTGTCACTTTGGCTCAGTCTGATGTCAGCGCGTACACTGACGCACGCATAGTACACATGTGCCTTAGTACACATGTGACATAGATAAAAGAAAGTGGAAGATGGAAATGAACGTTTAATTCGAGTAAAAATTTAAAATCTAATATTGAAGTATATATATTTAAGATGTATTAAAAATTATTATAACATAAAATTTTGACATAATCTTACATTGTATTGCCATATACGTGTATATCATTTTGTTTAGTAAATTTTATGATTTCGTACATTTTACCAGTTCATTTATATGTATGCATTCCTGTGTGTACATATCCTTATTGTAATAGATTGTAATTCTATAAATTAAATGTAATGATGCATGTAAATATTTACAAGTAGTTAGAAGAAGAAAATGTTTTTAAAAAAATATTTATGCAATTATCATA